CCCGCTGTAGATGGAGACAGAAGGGTCAGGTGGGCTGAAGCTGAGTGGCTGGGCCACAGTGCCACTTGGTTTGGGGCCTTCTGTGGACGTTCATCAAATTCATCATTTCCGTCACCTCCCTGGCACAACCGTAGACCTGAGTGACTATGTAAAGCCACAGCCCTGGTCCAGCAACTCCCACCCAGCAGTGTCTCAGCAACACAACAGCTACAGCCTGGCTCCTACCAGCCTGGGTTGTTACTTACAGGGTGACCCCAGCACACGCCCGGTCTTGGATTCTGTCCAGCCTTCTCCAACACAACATCGTGTGCCTAAAGTGTCCGTCTGCCGTGTACATTGGACAAACTTCTCAGACACTTTGCCAAAGAATCAGTGCGCACAAAACAGACATCAGACTCTCACGGAGAGAAAGCTGTTGCTTGTCATTTCAGCCAGACTGACCATTCCCTCAATGACCTTAAAACTTGCATATTGCTTCAGAGTGATTTTAACTCCAGACCTCAATGAGAAACTTCAGCATTATCATTCATGCTTCAATTTGACACATTCTATATAGAGGAGGTGGCATAGCTTGATGGTTTGAGCATTGGCCTACTAAACCCAGGGTTGTGAGTTCAATCCTTGTGGAGGCCATTTGGGGCAAAAACTTGTAAGGGGTGACAAGGGACTGGACTCCACTTAATGACCTTTCAAGGTCCCTTCCAGCTCTAGGAGATAGGTAGTCTCCATTAATTTATGTATAGGTCTCAACAAAGATGTTAATTATCTCACCCATTACAAAGATAGCTTCCTCACAGACACTAACCTTCCCTTTCTTACCTCTCCTCTGTTCTTAAATCTGATTTGTCATTTTTATGTGTGTTCACATTTTTTTTTATTATATATCAAAGTGATACACAGTTGTGCCAATTTTCTTCCACTATTTGATCTGAGGAAGTGGGTCTGGCCCACGAAAGCTCTTCACCTCATAAACCATCTTGTTAGTCTTTAAAGTGCTACATAGTCCTGCCTTTTGTTTCAGTTAGACCCGACTAACACAGTTACAACCCTGTTTTTTGAAGTATAAAAGTGATAGAGATGTAGCTGTGTTAGTCGGGTCTAACTGAAACAAAAGGCAGGACTATGTAGCACTTTAAAGACTAACAAGATGGTTTATGAGGTGAAGAGCTTTCGTGGGCCAGACCCACTTCCTCAGATCAAATAGTGGAAGAAAATTGGCACAACTGTGTATCACTTTGATATATAATAAAAAAAAATGTGAACACACATAAAAATGACAAATCAGATTTAAGAACAGAGGAGAGGTAAGAAAGGGAAGGTTAGTGTCTGTGAGGAAGCTATCTTTGTAATGGGTGAGATAATTAACATCTTTGTTGAGACCTATACATAAATTAATGGAGACTACCTATCTCCTAGAGCTGGAAGGGACCTTGAAAGGTCATTAAGTGGAGTCCAGTCCCTTGTCACCCCTTACAAGTTTTTGCCCCAAATGGCCTCCACAAGGATTGAACTCACAACCCTGGGTTTAGTAGGCCAATGCTCAAACCATCAAGCTATGCCACCTCCTCTATATAGAATGTGTCAAATTGAAGCATGAATGATAATGCTGAAGTTTCTCATTGAGGTCTGGAGTTAAAATCACTCTGAAGCAATATGCAAGTTTTAAGGTCATTGAGGGAATGGTCAGTCTGGCTGAAATGACAAGCAACAGCTTTCTCTCCGTGAGAGTCTGATGTCTGTTTTGTGCGCACTGATTCTTTGGCAAAGTGTCTGAGAAGTTTGTCCAATGTACACGGCAGACGGACACTTTAGGCACACGATGTTGTGTTGGAGAAGGCTGGACAGAATCCAAGACCGGGCGTGTGCTGGGGTCACCCTGTAAGTAACAACCCAGGCTGGTAGGAGCCAGGCTGTAGCTGTTGTGTTGCTGAGACACTGCTGGGTGGGAGTTGCTGGACCAGGGCTGTGGCTTTACATAGTCACTCAGGTCTACGGTTGTGCCAGGGAGGTGACGGAAATGATGAATATGATGAACGTCCACAGAAGGCCCCAAACCAAGTGGCACT